AAATAAGCAAAAGTTTTTTTTTAAAGATTGAAAATTTGAAGTTCTGATATTTGCTGTTCAAAAAAGCAAATTCAAAAACGTCTTGTAAATGATATGTCGGTTACGATTTCCAGGCACAGTACTAGACAGTATACGATAAGCTTCAGTAAACTGCATTCAACAGTGTTTGAAACTATACACAGGAGCTGTGTCTGATAAAACTGCCGCTTTAGACGTCTGTAAAAATGCGGACTGCTGAGTACGATACACATCAGAACGTCAGCTTTTAATAAACTATCAACATCGATTAGTGCTGGAAGAAAACTATTCTCGTTCACTTGCCACTGTTGCGACGCCATATGTCTTACCAGTTTGAATATCATCTGAACGTTCTCAAAAAGGTGTACCATACGTAAAATACTCGCTCATGTTTAGCCAGTTTACCAATCGTTCTGCTTCACTAATTGATTACCAGTTTTTGCCGGTTCATCAAAATATAAAAAAACAAATCCTAATTCTTACGCCAAGAAATGATATTTGAGCAGTTTTCTGCGCTCGGACAAGGGATTCCAAGAAGGTCAACAACACTGCTACCATTAACTATTTCTTGTACTTGCTTTCTTATACAGCTGGAACAGAAATTGTGTTCTTTTGCGCTTGATTCCATTGCCTTAAAAAACTTAGACGTTTTAAGTAAACTGCGCGTTTTATTTTTTATAACTTTGGTAATATAAAATTTATCTAGAGATAAAGTACTCTTTTTTACATAAAAACAGCCAAACGTATACGGGTTTTAAAACCAAGCATGCTTTTTTTTGACATAAACAAATATCGCAGACATAAGCGTGAAGAAAGATAGAAAATGAGAAACTTTGTTGTTTTCTCTTGGCTTGCACCAAACTGTCTTTTTAGGCGGGGCTTGCTTGTAACATATAAGGCAATTCATATCTGTCTAAACAGAAACTTGATTAGGTAAGATAAAAAAAGACGGCACTTTTCTGCTAGTTATTTAGCTGATTTTAGCATAAAAAGTGACAGAAATTTGAAAATTGGTCTCGTTTTCACCGTTTCAAACAGCGAGAAGTTTTCTCCTTTTTGCCGCCCCCTCTCCACCCTCCCTAAAAAAGATAACTCTTTTGAGACTTTTATGTAAAAGAAAGATGAAGCAGAGAGGAATAAGTCTAGCTTTTAATTACTACGTATGACCATTATTTCTGATTTTAATTTTTCTAAACCCTAAACCTTTTGGTTTTCACTTAATTTTGATATTTAATGAAAAAATGTTATAAGTGATCGAGTCAGACGAGTAAAGCATATGCGCACCAGGCATGATAAAAATGCCAATTCACGGGATAAAGAGCCAATTTAGAAAAAGAAAACGAAGCTAAACAGATTTAAAGTAACTTTTTTGCTGCACTGCATTAGCTCTCCCAGCAATAATCTGCATTCTTCAGTGAGAAAACTTCAAATGCTTGTAAAAGCAGGACGGTACGTATGAAGCTAAATTACATGATCACCTCATTTGAATCTAGTTTATCGTCATCAATTTCATCATTCTCCTTCCACCACTTGCTGCATTTATTTCCACATTCCTTGCACTTGCCCCCTCCAGCATGTCTAAACAAATGAGAGTGTCATCACGTAAGTACTGCTGGAGATTTTCTCACTGATTAGCCTCAAATATCACTTTTGAGCTCATAATAAAAATAACTGCGCAAAAAAAAGAAGAACAATTTATAGCTAATAAACTTTTTGTAAAACGATTTATTTATTACAACACAAATAATGTAAAAATTTTTTTTTTTGTAAAATCAAATTTTTCGTCTTTTTGCAGCGTCCCTCTCATTCTTATCAGTTTTTGAAAACACTAGTCAAGTACTTATTACAGGTTGTCAACAGAATAGAAAGAACCCATCACTTATACAATTGGCGATGCAGCTTTTGCGAAGCAAGGTCTTAGGAAGTTTTTTTTACTACTGCCTGACTTGTCAAAGTCCAAGGTGCAGCTAGAGCAGCTTTTCTTATTGTTTGCTGCACAGTCCTACATTTTTTTACAAATCAGTATTATTTTATCACCATATTGAATAATGCGCTTTATAAATTCTATAGATTTAACTTCTTGCGTTTTGTTAAAAATCCACAGCTTACTGGTTCTGAACTGCATGTTTTTAAGCAGACAGCGATTTATTGGTTAATAAACATCAGTATAAAGCTGTTTTACTGTTGCAGTAGATGATATTACGACTGCAAGTCAATTGAACAGCGTCATAAAATTCTGTGTTTAAAATTAATTTTTAATAGTTAGTTCACAGGTTTTGTGAGGCTACTTAGTGTGTTTCACAGCTCCGAAACAAAAAATAACGTAACAAAATAAGCTTGATAGAAGTATAAAAAGCACATTTTTTGGTAGTGAAATAAACTAGTCGTAAAAAATCCTCCCTTTTGCTCAAAAGTCTTGCGGATACAAACAAATTGTAAGATAGGCAATCACTGTAAGCTAGAAACTTGAATAAACTTTTATTTTCTAGGCCGATAGTAAGATAAATAAGATTTTTTTTTGCTTCATTAGAGGTTGGCTGCGAATGACGATGGTTTTAAAGTGGTGGTAAAGGTGATAAATAAAATGATACAATATCTTGCTTTTAATAGGTTCCTTTAAACTGATCTATTTAGTGGATGACTTTCAAGTAATGTTGCAACAAAATTCTTTTGTCCTGATAACACGAAAGCCTACCTGACAAAAGTAAACACTAAACAAAAAAACTAACAAAGATTGTTCTGGCTTTATTTTTCGTCACTACCTTAAATTATTTGCACTGGCATGTCATGCTTTTGTGACAATGCTCTAAGCCTATAGTGTTATACAAATTAGTTCAGTAGAGCTAAAATCAAAAATACTTACGCGCAGAAATGATCATCTTTGACGGACATTTTGAGGCATAAGTAACAATAAGTCACACCGCAATTGCATCTAATTTTGTTACAACCTGTTTCTTCTGCTTTATTCTGGTAGCTTTTGCCGCAATTTTTGCAGATCCGTTGTGCGGCATCGACTCGCGTGCTGCAGTAAATGGCTACCAACACAAATGCATCTCAACGACAGAAAATTTTCCATTTGTGAGACTTAATCATTATTACTTCTGCTATTTCTGTTTTCGTTTGTTCAATTTTACAAATTACCTTAAACCTAAGGCTCGCATTTCATCGCAACTTAGTATTTCGTGCTCCTCAATCCAATTTTCATGACAAAGTCTAAAAAAACGATATTTGATAGCACTTACCCTCAAACTGTAATACAGCGTAATACAAGAGTTCCAAGTAATTTTTAAAGCAAACATTTCTTTCTCGTTACAAAACTGATAAAACTTTTATGCATTTTAAAAAAATAATGGAAATATAGTTTTGCATTGTATATCGCAGATGCTTATCACTATTCTTACCAGTGATATTGACTGTAAATTCGAAGTGTTGATTTAATTAAAAAAAATACCTGCAGTGCTGCGCTCCACACTCAGGACATTCAAAAATCTGATCTTCTTCCTTGGATGTCTCTAATACAGCAGGGAAGCCGCATTTTTTGCAACTGTAATTATCTTATTCCATTCTTCATTAAATCCACATAAAAGTTCTTAGCTACTTTTAAAAATTTGTATAAAGATAAATTCTAAACATGATGTCACTGTCTACCTTTCAACTTCTATTCCAAGAGCATTCAGATTTTCTTTTTGTATCATAGCTTCTAATTGATCACTTAGTTGATCAGGTAATTTCCTGGCAATTTCCTCTGAAAACAATGCCCTTTTGTTTATCAAAAATGACAACAAAAATAAGCAAGTTCTTTATTTGGCGTGTGCAAGATGTTTTACAAGGAGAAAACTTTAGTTTTTCTCATTTTTGATATGTAGCAGATAAATCGTAATGGTGACTTACAATTTGTTGAAATTATCTGAGAAATTAAGAAATACTGCTGCTTTTTGTCGGTTCTACATTAGCAAAAGAAGACCGCCGAAAAATATCAAAACTGTAAAGCGATTTTACTAACGTCTACGAGCAAAACAGTCTTTCAGATAGAGCGCCTTTCACATGTAGTAGAGACTGTAGAATACATTTCTTGATAGAAGAAAAAATGAAATAATTTCATGCTACGCTTCTAAAGCAACTCAAGTACACGACTGCTTCTGTGCTGCTAATGAAAGTTGTGTTAGAAAGCCAAAAACGACATGTTCATTATCGTCGCATTTTGAAAACCTGCATGCAGATAATGTAGAAAAAAAACTCAGGTTTCTTGGGAAAAGAACTCAGAAACCAAGTTGAGTTGAGTGTCAAATCCTACCCCAAGGAAGAATATTTTTGCAGTCATCTTTTCCCATGCAAGAAAGCCCAAACATGTCAATACTTCTTTCTTCTTCAAGTATTCTTTCTACTTCGCCTAGAACACACGCATTACAGCATGGATGCCCTGCAGAGAGCTCTGATTCCTAGAACATAAATTTAGTAAACATAAACTGCATTTTCAATAAAAAATTACCTAATTAATTAATACAGCCAGAGTAATCTCTGTATAGAAATCAAAATTTGGAAAAATCAATTTTTAATATGCAAAAATATGAATAAAATACTAATATAGATCTCACTATTTGGTTATCTTTAGGCCTACAGTAGTTTACATCTTCTACTGAAACTTCTTCCATGCAAACAATACACTCGATACAAGCCTGAAAGAAATTTTGGATCAACTTTTCAGGTTTTTGTAAGCAAAATTGTTCCTCTGTTTAATTATTCTAAACACATATATCTAACAATGTTTATCAAAAACTTACAAATTTTCAACTGAAAACCACATTGAGGAAATTAATTGCATTACCTGCAGTAGACGATGATAGTATTTCTAGAAGTTTGGGTAAAGTGAAGGTTTTACTGATGCTAATTTAATGAAATAAAGTTCTTGAAAGAACGGGATCAGTAAAAACTGAACTAACATTTCCTTTTATGTGACGCTTATCTTTGAAAAATCTTATTTTTATTATATTATATTTAACCTTGTGAAAAGTTTCAGAAGTAATGTGCAAGAAAACCCACTTTTATTCATCGTGCTTTAAAAATTTTTAAAACTGTTTCTTGAGTTGCTAAACACATGATTTTTTATTTATCAACATAATAAAAAAATTTCTATTAAAATAAACTTCTACGTATAAACTTGGTATTTAGATTTTTTATAATGGCTGATACGTAGACCGCTAATGAAAAGCGTATTTTCAATATAAAATTGCAAATGTGACGATTATGTTTTATTTACAGCATCTACCAAAAAGTAGCTACAATAATGGTATTTATCTAAACAGTTTTTGGTTACAGAACTTCATTCACCCTTTAAACTTGCTACAAAATCTATTAATTTAAAGTGCTCTATAAATGTCAGCAACTTTTGCTTTAAGCTTTCCAATTTTTCCTCAACCGCCTTCCTATATCACCTTCTTTCTAAATCTGTACTTCTTTTAACCAGAATTTTCTGTCTTACCCTGTTAGCGAAATCATATATCGTAGTATTCAATCTCCCCTTCAATTCCTCTGGCATTATATTATAAATGTCATCTAAAAAACACTTGTTTAACTTTTTTACAAGTTACAGCAAAAGAAAAAATTGCTTTTCTTTCATCAGCAATTGTGTGTTTCTGTGCAATTTTTAAGGCGCAAAAATCACTTGTAATGCTGTAGCAATTACAAAACTAAAAACGTCTGCATTGCTGAAAAGTAAAAACAAGCAAATTCCGGCTTTTGAGAAGAGGTTAAGAAGCAGCTAACGCAGCAAGCCAAAAAACACTTACCAAAGTAGATTGAGTTTGAACAATACTGCTTGCTTAAGCAAGAAAAACCGTGGATACTAATCGCTGCACCGTCGTTAATCAGTTTATCTATCGTGTTCCAAATACAATTATAACAAAATCGATGTTTAACTTTTTCATCAGACTGCTAAAACAAAATTTCAAGTTATAAATCTATTTGTGTTTCTTCTAACTGCTGCGGAAAGTCTTACTAAAATATATTCAACTTATATGGCGCTTAGTATGCCAAGCAAGTTTTTTTTCAAAAAAAATAGTAATGAAAGGTGAAGACTAGTCATAAGTGAGAAAAGATTTTTTATTATAGATTTCACTAATTTGAAAGTAAATATTATTTTTCGAAGAAAGCATTAACATTTAACTCAAAAAAAAAACACGATAAGGTGGTCCTGACATTTTCACTAGATTTGCAGTACACCGTTTTTTCCAGAGACACTTTTTTTGCGCATTCAAAACACGAGATAGATTCCTAAAAAACTGGAAAGTGTTTAAAACCAAATTGCTCAAAATTGAAAAAAATTCTTTTTTTAAAGATTTATATGACCAAGTTTTGGCGTATAAATTGTATATTTAGAAAGATGTATGTCCAAATTGTTTTTCTTTAAAATTTATACCCTTTCTGGTCAGTTTTCGAAAAGTTTTGTTAGAATTTTGCCAAATAAAAAATGATTCTCACCAAATTCATAGCTTTTTTTTTTACTTGTTAGATCAAGAGGAACAAGCAAGATGCAAATGTTGGCCTGTTCTTCAACTCCAAACGTAATTAACTGGTTTCTCTCCTAGCGGCTTTAATAGTCTACCTCTGGTTAACACCTTAAACTTGAAACTATTAAAGTTAGTTTTAAAAGCGTTGCACAGAATTTGACGGTTTATGGCTTCTAAAAATTTTGACAAACCCAAATTACAGGCTTGTAGCAAAAATTTCATTAGATGCAAAATTGACAATCTTGTTTTAATAATATCCAAAGTAAAATTTGAGTTTCAAAAAGAACGACAAAAAATAAATGGAACTTGAAATAGCAGTAAAAAAAAACTGGAAATATCACTGAAAACGGCAGTGAAAAGCAGACCAGCAAGTTCCGCCTAACAATGTAAGAACAAATACCTTTCCTTTGCAATCGTTCTTAACCGAAGCAACAACTGAATAAATGTGCCAAAAATAGTTACAAGAATCAAAATTAGGTACTCAAAACAAAATATAGCAAAAAATTTATAAGAATTTAAATAATAAGTACGTTCTTAACGGAAGCAACAACTGAATGAAACGATAAGGTGAGTTACTGCTGGAAAGATAAGAAGAGGGTAGATAAGAAGGTAATTACTATGTAACGAAACTAGTATATAAAAGAATTTTAGTTTTTGATGAAGGATTTTTGCAATTGAAATCTTTAAAACTATCTATTTTAATCCGCATTATGAGTAGTTTGCTTGTAGCACACAGGGTTAGCCTAAGCCGTCATTGTTTTAGAGTCTAAACGTTTTTTTTTTTTTTTGCTTTACTACTTTTACCAAATTTAACACATCAGAAGAAATTTAAAAGAATGTCAAAGGAAATAGAAGAAGCAGCAAACAACAGGTTATACGTTACGTCTAGAAAAGATAAACTTCACAAAAAAAAAGCTAAATTTGGTCATTGCAATGGCACAGATAATGACTAACTGCAGTCTGTGACGTATGACAATTAATAATAATAATAATGACAATAACAATAACAGTTATAATAATGATAATAATAATAATAATACTAGCAATAGTAATAGTAATAATAAATCTTTTTCAAGATACGTTTTTAAATTTCTAGATTAGTAAAAGAGCTTATATACTGAATATAACTCATGCTTTTGATAATCATCTGTCGCTGCAAACTCATTGAATCTGAATCTGATGTCAGATACAACTATAGTTTATTAAGTTCGAAGAAAAGAACTTTTTGCTCGTTTTTGCAGATTTATTCAAATTTAACCATAAAACAGCAAGACAGTCAAAATGTTTTAGAATATATTTCATAAAAGTTATAATTAATGAATAGTTTGCTGTAGCAAACAACAAACACGAGAAGTTTATGCTTTCAAAAAAGTTTTTTTCTCAAATTAAAAACAAGCACTTGTTAAAATTTAACACGAAATACAAATAACATCACTCGATCGATTTTATCAATTCAGCAGTAAATGCTACTTTTCCGAAAAAAAAAAA